CTCGCGGTCAGAGGGCACCGGGCCAGGCCTTGACTCACCGCCCCCGCCGGCCCCCGGGGCTCACCCCTCGCATTTGTCACCACCCGGGCAGGTGGGTCTGGGCAGTTGTCCCCTGACGCAGGGTCAGAGACACAAGACGCAGCCACACCCTGAGGGCCAGACGAGGGGTCAGCCGCCCGGCGCAGGCCCTGGGGGCCACGGGAACGCAGCCCAGCAGACGAGTGACCTCAGAGCGCTGCCCCGGGAAACCAGCCGGCTCGCCCTCGCGCATCCCCTGCAGCCAGGACGGAGGCCCTGCCCGGCCAGGCCCTGGGGCTCAGGCAGCAGGAGAAAGTCCCAATCTGGACAACAGCCTGGAGCCATGAGGCCCCATCAAGGCCTCCCTCCGTGGTGAGAGTGCTGGCTGTGGCCGCAGGTGCCTCTGCAGGGACAGCATGGCAGGACAGGCTGCTGCTCCCGGATGCACTCACCGCGGCTTCTCCCAGAGGCTGGGCTGGCCCTGGCCCTGGCTGTGGCAGCAGCGGCCTCGCTGTGAGGTGCCAGGCGCGGCCCTCAGCACCCGGGGTCTGGCGGCTCACGAAGTCCTCCTAAGGTGCCCTGACCACCCTCGTCGTTCTAAAGATGAGGGAAATGGCTGACACCGGTGTGGCTCAGTGGATAGAGCGTCGGCCTGCAGACTGAAAGGTCCCAGGTTCGATTCCAGTCCAGGGCATGTACCTTGGTTGAGGGCACATCCCCAGTAGGAGGTGTGCAAGGAGGCAGCTGATCCATGTTTCTCTCCCATCTATGTTTCTAGCTCTCTATCCCTCTCCCTTCCTCTCTGTAAAAAAATCAATTAAAAAATATATTTAAAAAAAAAAAAAGATGAGGGAAATGGGGCACAGAGAGGCCAGTACACCTGTCCAAGTTCACACAGCAGGTGAAGCTGGGACAGAACCACGCCGCCCCCAGCTCGCCCCACCGGGTGCAGCCTCTCCCAGGGAACAGCTGGGCTGGGCGAAGGAGGAGCAGAGGTCTGGGGGAAGGCTGTCACAGTTAATCCTAGGGGCGGCTCAGGTCTCCCCACCTCATTTCACCACAGCCTTTAAGGCACTTGCTCAAGGTCACTTTTCATACATATGTAAGTATTATCAATTTCAGAGATGAAAGGAGAGGGAGAGAGAAAGAGAGAAACATCCGTGATGAGAGAGAATCATCGATCGGCTGCCTCCTGCACTCCCCACACTGGGGATCGAGCCCGCAACCCGGGCCTGCGCCCTGACCGGGACCGGGAATCGAACCGTCAACACTCAGCCACTGAGCCACGCCAGCCCGGCTCAAGGTCACTTTTCAAGGGTTTGAGATTAGTTCTCATCCAGCCACCCACAGCTCCCAAGACAAACCCTTCAGCTAAGCAAGTCCGCTCTGTGCCGTGATTTCTTCCCCTAAATCCCAGCAACAGCCCTGCCCGGGGTGGCACTGGTGCCCTGCGCCCCCGTGTATGGGTCAGGACAGGGAGGCCGGGAGGCTGGGACCGGCCCCGCATACCCCCAGGGGCCTAGAGCGATGAGGCCAGCGCTTCCCGCTTCCCGGGGAGGACAGAAGGGGAGGGACTGGGAGAAGGCGAGGCGGCTGGACTCCCACTGCCACTCGCTCAGAGCTCGGAGCTCGGAGGCCGGCTAAGTGGCCCTGAGCCCGGGGAGCCGCATGGAGCCATTAGCTGCAGACCGGCAGCCTTTCAGGGACTGGAGCTGGGCTGGCTTCCAGGCAGGGAGCCCCTCACCCCAAGGCCGGCTCCCTCTAATGCAGAGGCCGCCCGCCCCGCTCTGCCGGCTCCTCCAGGGCTCGGCTTTGATCTCTGCCTGGCTCTGCCAGGCTCACCACAAACCGCCTGAGCCGTATCAGCCCCGGAGCACGTGCCACCCACAGGCCTCCCCACCAGCGCAGAGGTCAGGCTGGGGGGTGGAGGGGGGCTTCCCGGAGCCAGGTGGCCCCCGCTCCCTGAGGTGGGGGTGAGGGAAAGTCCCCTGAGCTATCAGAAGGCACCCGGCCTCCGTGCACCCATCTGCCCCAGGGGGGACACGGGAAGGCCAGCATCGATGTGGCCACAGCCCGTGGTCCTCCCAGCAGCTCCAGGCAGGTACGTCCAGGTGAGGACACGGAGGCAGCGCCCGAGTTCACACACCCGGAGAGGAGCGAGGCCAGGGCTCCCCCCAGGCGAGCGGCCTTGCTCTCCGGCGGGTCCTAGGGGATGTGGGCAGCAGCAGGGATGGGGTTCGAGACCAGAGCACCCAGCACAGAAGCTCAGACCTGGCCTGGCCCAGGAACCCCTATCCCTGCCCCCCGCCCCCTGCACCGAGGGGCCAGGAGAGCTCAGTGGACAAGAGCGCAGACTCTAGAGCCGCCCACACGAGAGGTCACCCTCAGGTGAGCCTCCTGCACCCAGCGCCCTAGGCTCAGGTGGCTCAGCACCAGCACCTGCTTCGTGGGAAGAAAGGTGCGTGGGGAGCGCTGAGCCCCGGCGGGTGGCCAGGCTCGGAGGGCAGGAGGGAGGCCAGGGCAGGCTGGGGTGAGCAAGGGGCAGAGACTGTGTCCCCCGCTCCTCTCCCACCCGGGGTCCCTCTGCCCAGCCCCCCAGGCCTGACCCCAGAATCCAGAGGGCTCCCCAGAACCTCAGGAGCTCCCGATGGGGCAGGAGGCTGACGGGGGAGGGCAGCATTGGAGAGGCAGAGCCAGCCAGGACCCGCCCCACCCACCCTGTGTGAGAGGCCCCTTTGTGCCAACCCTGCTCCCCTCCCCGCCGCCCCTGCCATCTGCCTGTCCCCCGGGGTCCCGGTCCCCCAGCTGCCAGATTTGCTCACGTGATGCCCCCATCTGCTGTGAGTCAGAAGGAGGGGTCCACAGAGCCCCTGGTTGGCATGGGGGGTGCAGAGCCCGCTACGCTTTGGGGGGTGGGGAGGTAGGGGGGTGCAGGATTTGGAACTATACTGTCACCTTCCCCTCACGCCGCCACCAGCTCTGCCCCTGACTCCTCACCCTTGCCAGGGGGAGCCCACCCACACCCCTGGCCTGGGCACGGCTCCACCACCCACACACTGTCCCCCAAGCTCGCACCTGAGCCCCACGCCACACCCCCTGCCCTTCCCGTCCTGGACTGCTGGGCCAGAGCAGCCGGCCCGGGGTGCACAGCTCCCCAAGTCCCCGCACCAGCCCCTCCCCCGCAGCAGGGCAGAGCAGCCCCGTGCCAGGTCTCCAGCACCATCGCCTGCCCCATTCCCCCAGGCCCTCGCTATTTCCACACCTTTCCCCACGCAGGTTCCTCTGCCAGGAATCCGCCCCCGCCTCTCCCTCTCTCTCTCTCTCTCTCTCTCTCTCTCTCTCTCTCTCTCTCTCTCTCTCTCTCACACACACACACACACACACACACACACACACACACTTAAATTCTTCCTTCTCTTTCTCCTTTCCAGCCCCCAAGCCCAGCCCAGCGTCCTCGGCTGAGCCCCCAGGCTCCGAGGCGGAATGCTCCCTGCCTCCCTCCGCCTCCTCCCGCAGAAAGCTTATCTCACTCCTCAGCCTCAGAGCCTAACTGTCCTGTTTGTTTGTGTCCCTGACAAGCTTTGGGTGTCCCAGCCAGGCGACTGGCCCCTGCCCCATGGCCCAGGGCAGCATCCGTGCAGGCTGCCGGGCCAGGCCTCTCCCCCACAGACCCTGCGGGGAGTTGGGGGGGGGGTCCCCACGTGACCTGACACCTCAGAGCCACAGGTGCAGGGCAGCTATTCTCACCTCACACGCCCACTTAGCAGCTGCAGCAGCTGAGGCCCAGAGAGAGAGGGGTGAGGCGAGGAGGGGTGTGCTGCTGTGAGCACAGTGGGTCTGGGTCTCAGTGTCCCTGCAGCTCACACGGTCAGGCCTGGCCCAGGAGCCAGTCACGCCACTGCCGGCCTCCGTGCTGCGACCCATCTCAGCAGCCAATGGCTCTCCCAGACGCTTCCCACTCGGTCTCCACCTCAAGAAACCAACCCGCTGCCCTCAGGGTCCCCACGGGGCCCGGCGCTGGCCCATGGCTTGAAAGACACCTGTTCGTCCCATTCCCTGCAGAGTACGTGGCACACAGTAGGTGCTCAATTAAATGTTTGTATGTGTCACTCCCATGGCCCCCTGGAGCCACAGAGATGATTGCTCCCCACCCGGCCTCCCCAGGCCTGAGCCGCTCTGGGTGGGAGCAGGGGGGAGGGGTTGGGGGAGAGGGGGGAGGGAGGGGAGGGGCCCTGCCTCGGCTCATGGCCCCCGAACCTCCTCCTGTGGGGCCCTGGGAGACCCCAGCTCAGCACCACAGGAAGGAGGCCGGTGGGAGGCGGGAGGACAGGAACCGGTGGTTCCCCAGAGAGAACAGGGTCGCCGGGGGGGGGGGGGGGGGGGGGCCCTATCTGTGCCCCGCAGGCAGGCGGGAGCCGGGGGTCTGGTGGTTTAACTGGCAGCCCAGCCCTCCGCCTCTGCTTCCTCATCTGCCTGCCCGTTCCCACGCCAAGACCCCCTCCTCCCTGCCAAGGATGCACAGGCGAGGACCAGCTCACGGGGCGGACCAGCCCAGGCAGCTGCAGGTGAGACCGCCCTCAGGGCCGGTGCCCAGCCCCCTGCAGCCGCTCCAGAGCCGGGACCAAACCAGGCTCTAGCGTTAGGGGACGCGGATAAGCCACCAGCCCCCTCAGAGCCTGGCTCTCCCCACCCCCAGAGCCACGGGAGCAGGAGTAACTCCTCTCACCGCCCAGCGAGCAGACCCAGCCTCCGTGCCCAGTGAACGCCGCTCTGAGCCTCAGTTTCCCCAGCTGGCACAGGACTAGGGGTTCCGAGACATTTCCTCCCCTCAGTCCCCGTCCCCTTCCTGGGCATCTCCCTGTCCATCTACCCCCAGCTCCAGAGCCCCCCCTACAGCAATGCTCCCCCGGGCTCCCACCCAGACAGCAAGGCTCCCGAGTCCCTGTCCCACCCCCACCCCTCATCCCTCCTTGGCCTGGTACCTGGCGCCCGGTGCGGGGTCCGGTGGGGTCAGGCAGCTGACGGGCCTTTCGGGATTCACCTCCAGAGGCTGGCCGCTGGCCCTAGTCGTCCCGCTGCAGAGGGAGCTGCTGCGCGTGTGGTGGCTCCGGCCCCTCCTCGCAGGGCAGGGCCGGCAGGCAGCCAGGGTGGAGGGGGAGGAGCCCAGGGAAGTGCTGGGTGTTTGGTGGGGGGTGCCCCCTCCAGACGACTCCTCCCTCCTCCCTCCACCCCTCCCTTCTCCCTCCTCCCTCCTCCCTCCTCTTCAGCTCAGCGAGGGATGACGGACCATTAGTGAGTCATGGATTTCTCAGAGGGAGGCTGAGAAGGGGGCAGGGCCGGGAGCTGAGGCAGGGACCCCGTGACTCAGCACTGGGCCAGGGGGCACCCCAGCCTCACCCCGCATTGCATTCGGGCAGAGAGGTGCCCGGTTTCTGGGACAGACACCAGCCAGGGAGAGTGCTGCCTCCTCCCCCCAATCTGCCGCCTCCCAGGGCCGGGCTCCCCAAAGTGCCCGGAGGCCAGGGTTGCTAGGGCAACAGGCGCTTTGATGCTGCGCCCCCCCCCCCCCCCCCCCCCGCAGAGCCCAGGCGACAACTGCCCCTTCCTGGAGGAGCATCCAGCCTCCTTGGCAGCCGGCAGGAGCCGGAATGACCAATGACCGGCGGAGCGGAAGGCACGGGGTTGGGGAGCTGGGGGGTTGGGGGGGTTGGGGGTGATCCAGCGCCTGGCATGCAGCCAGCCAGTCCACGCACAACTGGCCACCTGACCTTGAGTCTCCCTGAGCCTCGGTCCTCCCAGCACAGGGACCCATGGCAGAGCTCGCCGGGCACACAGAGTGCCAGCACCCCGGACTCAGGCTCCGGGGTCTGAGATGCCAGGGGCTCCTGGAAACGGCATCCCTCAGCTTGTCCGCGAGGCCAGAGGGGAAGCTGAGGCTGAGTGAAACGCCACTCATTCCCGGTGGCAAGGAAGCTGGGGATGGGCCAGGGGCCCGCCCCCTCCCCGGTCACTATCCGCTGCTCGCTGGCTGCTGAGGTCCCAGGAGCGGGCTCCTGCCACAGCAGCGATAATGAGGATGCTGATTCCACTCACTGACCATTTATCACCTTCCCGGCTTTCCCTCGCGCACCGCCATCTGAGCACAGCGGCGAGGGGAGTGTGGCTCAGACCAGCTCAGCTCAGACCAGCGGGAAGAGCTGCTAGAATGTGGTGGTGAGGCGGGAGAGCGGGGGACAGGGATGTGAGCTCAGAGAGGGGGTGGAGGTGCCTGAGGCCACCCAGCTGGAGGTGCTGGGGTCAGGGCCGCCCAGCAGCCTGGCTCCTGTCACTCAAGTGCAGCCTCCCCAGACCTGGGCCCATGGGGTGCTCAGGGCTGCAGGTCCCTGCTCTGAAGGGGGGGGGGGGGGGGTAGTGAGGCCCGGGGCTGGGGCTGCTGTGGGGAAGGCCGCCCCTCACCTGCCATCAGGCTGCCCGGTGGGGGGTACAGAGAGGCCCCGCCCGGAGCTTCCAGAAGGCAGCGCTGTGCTCTCCAGCGTCCGCCCCGCTGTCCAGCCTGTGGCTGATGCCCTGGCCGGCAGGCGCTGTGGGCACGGGGCCTGCCCTCACTCCTGGGGCTGCTGTGGGCACTCCCTCACTATCAGGGCAAGAGCCCCCGTGTGGGCCGGGAAACAGGGAGAAAGGCAAGTTATCCAGAAAGGGATGGGAAGTCCCTGACAGGCCGTGTCCCCATGCAGGTCACCCCTCAACACCTCCGTTTCCCCAGGGTCTGTCCTTCAGGGCGGAGCCACGAGAAGGCGGGGCAGCAGCAGCTGTTCCCTGCGATTCGGGCCAGCAGGGCAGCGGCGGCCCCACCACACCCCCCAGAGGGTGCTGGCCAGCTGGGCACAGGTGGGGAGTTGGACGGGCCACTCTCTGAGTGCCCACACCAGGGCCACAGAGACCTGGAGCACTGCCACATGGGAAAGGCAGCCTGGCCAGGGCAGGGCTCGGCTTGCCACGCTCTGGCTGCCCTTTCACCATCGGGCTTCTCAGAGACCTACTATGTGCAGGGAGAGACCTACTATGTGTGGGGAGAGACCTACTATGTGCAGGGAGAGACCTACTATGTGTGGGGAGAGACCTACTATGTGCAGGGAGAGACCTACTATGTGTGGGGAGAGACCTACTATGTGCAGGGAGAGACCTACTATGTGCAGGCCCCAGCCCCGAGGATGACCCACATGGGGGTGACACCAGAGAGTTATTGGCACTGTGGAGCTCCCAGAAGGCTCTGGGAGTCAAAGGACAGAATCCACATAAATGGCCATGAATCACTACCCTGCCCACCGCTAGTCCTACTCAGCGGTTCACTGGGTAGGGTACCGGGTAGGGTTCACTGGGTAAGGCACTGCTTGACGTGGGTCACTCTAAGTTCACCCTTCCAGCTCTGTGGCCGGGCTCCCACTGGTTTGTTAGAAATCAGGTGACGCAGCCCAGGCCGCACAGCTGGCGTGTGGCTGGGAGCTCCTACTGGGTGCCAGGTCCTTCTAGGTTCTTCACATCAGTCACTGTCTCCCCCCTCCCACCCCCCCTCCCATCCTTTCACAGAAGAGAGACAAGCAGACAGAGGGATGGAGCCAGGGTTTGAACCAAGCTGGTTGGCCCCTGAGGCCCAGCTGGGTCTTGAAGGAAGGGTTTTTTTGTTTGTTTGTTTGTTTGTTTTGTTTTGTTTTATTTGTGTGTGTGTTTATATGTTTTATTAATTTTTTTTTACAGAGAGGAAGAGAGAGAGATAGAGAGTTAGAAACATCGATGAAAGAGAATCATCGATCAGCGGCCTCTTACACACCCCCTACTGGGTATATGCCCACAAGCAAGGTGCATGCCCTTGACCGGAATCGAACCCGGGACCTTTCAGTCCGCAGTCAGATGCTCTATCCACTGAGCCAAACCGGTTTCGGAGAAGGAAGGGTTTTGATAAGCAGAGACCAGCTGGAAGGGCACTCCAGGTGGCGGGAACAGCATCAGCAGGGGTGGAGAGGATTCTGGGGCCCGGGAGCCAGCCTTGGGAGGAGGTGGGATCCGCTTAGCGGAGCAGGGGCAGATTCCGGGGGGTTTGGGAAGCACAGAGTTTGCTTTGAATGGGGTTTCATCCAAGGCCCTGGGAGACCAGGCAAGGTCTTTGGTGGAGAGGGGCGTGATCAGCACACAGATGTGGCCTGAGAGTTTGCTGGAACGCCGGGTGCACCGGGCCTGCTGGGTGAGAGTGGGCGTTGGAACCGGATGCCCAGGGGACGCCAGCTTTGGGCAGAGCGGGAGGCGCCTGGTCTGGACACCAGCGATGGTGGGCTGGGCCTAGGGAACGGGCAGCTGGGCCGCTGGAGAAGAAGGAGGCAGAGGGAGGCCCTGGGGGCTCAGGGCGGGTCCAGAAAACCAGAGCAGGGCTAGGACCCGCCTCACACGCGCAGGTGAGGGGAAAAGATGCCTGAAACCGCCCTGAGTATTGGGGGGCTCAAGGTGGGGCACAGAGAAGAGGCCGTCCTCAGGCTCAGTGGAATGGGGTGTGCCTGTGACATGTCGGGTAGCCTTCCAACAGGCAGCTGGGTGCACATTGCTGGGCTCAGGATGAAGGGGTGGGGTCCTCCAGGACCAGAGAGGGTCGTGAGCATTACTGGAGGAGGGGGCAGTGGCCAGAGACGGGGGGCGGGGGGGCCTGCAGAAAGGCCTTCGTTTTATTTTATTTCATTTTTTATTATTATTTTTAATATTTTATTGATTTTTTTTCTTTTTTTTTTTTTTACAGAGGGGAAGGGAGAGAGATAGAAACATCAATGAGAGAGAAACATTGATCAGCTGCCTCCTGCACACCCTCCACTGGGGATGTGCCCGCGACCAAGGTACATGCCCTTGACCGGAATCAGAATCTAACATGGGACCCTTCAGACTGCAGGCCAACGCTCCATCCACTGAGCCAAACCGGTTAGGGCCATATATATATATTTTATTTTTTTTTAATTGATCTCAGGGAGAAAGTGGGGGGGGGGGGGAGGACACAATGATGTGAGAGCTGCCTCCTGTACACCCCACACTGGGATCGAGCCTGAAACCCGGGCATGTGCCCTGACCTGGACTCAAACCGCCCCCTCCTGGTTCTTAGGTCAGCACTGAGCCGCGCCGGCCGGCAGAACGGCCTTGGTTTGAAAGGACGGAGGAGCGGGGCCGCGCTGCCCGCCGCTGAGAGGTTGGGAGCCCAAACTCTGGATGCAGGCCCAGCGGCTTCCCCTCCCAGCTCTGCCAGCGGGTGACTCAAAGGCGGGCGGTAGCAGGGCCACCAGGAATGGTAAACAAGGCCGAGTCCGTCTGTAAACTCCGAGGCCCAGCACAGCGAGCACCTGAGGTGTCTGCGAGGGTTTCGCTGTCCAGAGCCTGTGTGGGCCCCGGGCCAGGGTGAGCAGACAGACCCACGGTGCCTGCTGGGCCCCAGGCCTGGGCAAGGGCAGGACTCCGCTCTGTTCCTGGAGGCCCCCCTTTTCTGTCTCTGAGCCTCCCTCCATGCAGGGCGTTGTGAGCAGCCTGGCACACGCTGCAGAGCTGTGCCCGCTGTGAGAGGGTCACCGGCCACCACTGCCTGCTGGGGGATGAGCTTTTACTGGACAAGAGCAGCTCAAGTCCAAGTGCTCTCCTTGCGAGCAGAGTGGCCTTGTAAATAAATCCTGGGACGCCTCGGCCGGCACCTATAGATGCTCAACAAATACCGAGCCAATGGCAAGATGATTGCCATCAAGTCAACGCAAACGCTTACAAAGCCCTTCCACGAAGCCCAGCGTCTCTCCTACAAAACAGCCACGATCGGTCCCATTTCACAGAGAGGGAAACTGAGGCTCAGAGCGAGAACCTTCCCAGGGCCTCCCAGCAGGCCATCCGCAGCGTCGGCGTTGGAACCCGGGCGGGGGGGGCCTGGGACCCAGACCACTTGCTTTCCGAGACCGGTGCTCCCAGCCACCTTCCTGTCGGTTCGTTCCCGTGGGAAAGAGTCCTGGCCACAGGCATGGGGGCAGCCACAGCCCCACAATAACGCCATCGCCCGTCACGCCCGCCCCAGGGCCCAGGGGGATGGCAGTGCCCATGTGA